GGGGCGCGGCGCGCAGCTGGCGGGGGTGACCCGCCCGCCCGACGCCCGCGCGCTGCCGCCGGCTGAGGGACGCGGCCGGGGCGGGGGCGAGCGGCGGGGGCAGGGTCCGGACGGCGGACAGAGCGACGGACAGACACACCGGCCTGCTGGCGGGGCTGCCTGCGGCCGCCATGGAGGTGTGCGAGAGCGGYGGGGAGCAGCCGCCGCTGCTGCACTGGGACCGCAAGCTGAGCGAGCTGTGCGAGCCCGCAGACCCCGACACGCTGCTGAGCCGCACGGTGAGGAGCGGCGGGAGCGGGCGGCGGCGGCTCCTGGCGGCGCCGGGAGGCCGCGGGTGGGATGGCTCAGACGCCGCCGTGGGCGGCCGCGTTTCSAGGGCCGTGGCGGGGCCCCTCGGGCTCCCCGTGTGCCGCGGTGTTCCAGCGGGCGCCGGGCGGGTTTTGGCCAACAGGTGCTCCCCGCGTCCCTCACCGTGACTGCCGCCCCTCCGGCAGGGGGCCCAGGTGTTCTCGGGACAGGCCTTGGGCTCCGCTCTACTCCGGAGGGTCTCAATTCTCTCCCCTCCGGGCCTGGCGGCGGCTCCCGGTTACCGGGATCCCGCAGCTCCCGCTCCATCCGTCGCCGCTTCTCCAGCCCGGCCGGGGCTCCCTCTGCGCCCTCGGCGCTGCCGCTTCTCCCCGGCGACCCCTCCTGAGTCTCGACTTCTTCTGCAAGACGAGACTGTCCCGCCACCGTCCTGCTCTCCCCAAGCGCAAGGAAGGAAGTGACACAAGTTGCGATGTTTTTGTTATTTATTTTTTTGGCTGGAATCYCCATATTTCGCCTTGCACAAATGACGCATAGTCAGGACGGTCCCGAGGAAATGTGTCTTGTTTTCTCTTCCCTGTTGTTTCACTCCTGCTCTGGAGGTTCTTGCAAGTGAGGGACCTTTATGAATCCACGTAGGTGCAAATCCCAAGTGGAAGTGTGCCGGAGCACCTTGGGACAGCAGCGTGAATGAYTCCTCCAGTCCGCTGATGGTGCGARGCACAGGGCAGCCACGCTCSGTGTGGTTGTCRTGCACRTGTTTTGATGGAGACCYAGAGGAACWTGGTGRTGSCAACTGGGATGTGGCAGTGCCAGGGGCTGCCACGTGCCCTGCATTTCTTCCTGCACCAAAAAAGGGTGATGTGCAAATACAACCCCAGAGTGAGGGACCCAACTGTTCATGGGAGCAGAGGTGATCCCACAGCTCCAGGGCAGTGTGCYGGCTCTTTGTGCAGGTCTTGGCGTTAAGTCTTGTAAGGCAAACAAGGAAAATCTTATTTGTTGTGTGTGGTATGTGGTCGCTTTGCTGATCCGGGATTGTGTCCGTCTCAAGCTCCRAGCCTCATTCCAGCAGGAAGCAAGCCTGCTGCACACGTGATGGTCTTTAAACMTTGTTTGGCTTCTTTGTCTTTGAAGGTCTTGGGCTTTCTTGCGCAATGTGTATCTTCTGGTAGATCCGGGGAAAAGCAATCATGTTATGGTGGCTTGGGTGTTTTAAAGAGCTGGCAAGAGCACTGAACAATGGAAAGCTTTTCCTTCAAACAGCTGTTTTCTTGTGGTTTTCTTTACTTTATCAACAGGAATGTTGTGAATGAAACGAGATGCTCTTTGGAGAGTGTTCCCCTTCAGATTTTACAGTTGTGTGGTATTTTGTGCTTCCTCTTGCTCTGTTTGAATGCTTGTGATGAGAAAGGAGTTGCCAGTCTTAACTTTTATTTTCTTATTTAGTGTTCTCATATCTTCTTTAATTAGTGCCCTGAAGGTGATCTTACACTTGGGCTAGAACTTTTGGCTGCAGTGACATGGATATGTCTTTTCTACTCTATTTCAAGGAGCCTAAGTCTTGAGTTTAGTTGTGTCTTGAAAAAGAAAACATCCTGTGTCTGGTGGATGGAAACAGGATGCTTTTCCTTTTGCCATTTTCCAGTGTTTTTGGGGATTTTCAGCTTCCAGTGTTACGATGAGGAACATTTTGTAAGGGGCAGCRCGTAACTGGATCTGCAAAATCTTGGGGTGTGATGACCTTTGTTGGGAGTAACACTCTGACATWGGTTTGTTTGTGTTGCTGGCTTGCTTGATTGGGTCTTTTTAGGAGTTTAAGATTTCTTTGGAGACCCTCTTGAAGCCAAATAAAAAGCATGAAATCAATCTTTTTGGTTGTTCTTGGAATTCTTCTGAAAGAGGTTTCAGGGAAAAAAAARAGCCCAACTAAATGCCATAAAGTAGGTGTAGTGAGGTATTGCAATCTTTAAAGAAGAAAAGAAGGTTCATGAAATTAACATTCTTTAGAGTGAAAAAACCCACACTGCTGCCTGTTGAACTTTTTCTTTTGTAAATGCACTCTGCCACATGGAAGAGAATAYTGTGCTTGATACCATGGAACACAAAGTCTCTATTTACCTCTGGCCAAAACTTCATAGAATCACTTGAAAAACCCAAAACAAACAAACAAGYTCTCTGGGTGAAACATCTGTTCTTCTCCTGGGTTATGCTTTCCATCTGGGAGGACTGGTTTGACCCAGTTACTCTGCTGTGTTTGTAAACTTACTGCAGGGTCTTTCTGGAAATGTTGGGATGATGAGGAGACCCTCCTGTGCTTCACACCCTGTGCTGTCACCCTCACAGCCAAGGAGCACGTGTTGTACAGCATCTTCTGGTCTTCACACACTCCCACGGTGACTCTTAGCTGGATGTGCAGGTCTCCAGGAAAGGTTTCTGGGACAGTCATGCAGCCCTAGAAGCGTGAGCTGGACTGATGAGGGGGAGGAGGGTGAAGATGAAGATGGTGATGATGATGGCTGAGGGGAGAGCTTACAAGCAGGAAGAAGGATCAGTGTCATTCTGCAGCCAGACCTGTGTGTACAGACTGGTGAAGATGAAAATTCTGTGCCAACTGCCTTTTGTGTATTTTAAGTTAAAATTTAATCTTTTTACGACCATAAGGGCTGTTCCTTGCTCTGGTTGATTTGACACTAGCAGACAAGTGTGAAAGTATGCATACACTTAAAAACTTGACCTCTATTTTAAACTGTTCCAGCCTGCCTTAATTACCAGGGCTGAAATCCAACCTCCTGGGGATTTACATTTCTCTTTAACAGCTGATGATTTCACCAGTGCCTGGAGCTGTGTGAGGAGCCGTTCCCTTTCTCCACTGGTGCTGTCACTGATACCATCGGCCATACCTGGAGAAAGTGGGGCCTCGAGGAGCTCAGCTCTGCTGTTGGCAGGCAGCAATCCTTGAGGTGGCTTGTTAAAGTTCTCACATGCACACCAGGTCTCTTTATGGCAGTTATTTTTTCCAGAGTGGTTCAGTTTCCCGTGRAAGAAAAGGCTGAAAGGTTTCCCCAAGGCGTGTCACGTGTGTGCATTATATAATCTTCATATGCACTGTAGCTTTGTTGTGACTGTGCTGGTAGTGCTGGCCCTGTGCAAGGCAGCCTCGTTGGTGCTGTTATTGTTGTTATTCTGTGTTTTTTCCTGTTGGTTGGACAGAAGGGAAGCACAACACCTGCTACTGCCCAAGGGGAGAAGGAGYGTGGCCAGGTGGCAAAACCTCCAGCTTCTGCTGCTGCTGTTACTGTCTGTAACACACGGGTGGGCTTGAAGTGGGAGAGCTCYGCTGGCGCCCGTGGGGCTCGACTGGAATTGATCTGTGCTTGGACATGGCCCAGCTGGGACCGTGTCTGTTGTGACAAGGGCCAGATCTGATGCAGATGGATAAGTCTGACAAACACGCTGTGAAATGCCAACTACCTGTCCCATTGCTGGATGGGGGCTGAAAGGCAGATGGTTCTTAGGAGCCTTTGACATTTRAAACCTCCTTATGTAATACTGAGGAGGCCATTTTATTTTTTTCCCCCCACCATTTTCATGGTTATTTTAACACTGCTGCTTCCAGATGGTAGCAAAATGCAGTTGAATGTAAGCATGGATGTGGTCTTGGCATGGCAGATGTAGAACTGCAGCTGCCCTGCAGGTTTGTGGGGACAGCAGCTGGCTTAGATATTTGGGACTAAATTCCTGGATGTCTGGATGAGTGGTTAACTGGAAGATAACTTCAAATGCTAAGTAGCCCAAATTGTTTATCCATTAAAGAGCCTGACAATTGAACTTGGAACTCGTGGAAAAATGGGAATTACTGAAATGTCACAGTGTTACTGCTGTTGGTTGAGCATTGTTTGAGCTCTGKGATCCAGTTTTCCATGTTGCTGGCAATGCTGTGGGCAGCTCAGCCCTGGGACAGGGGTGTAGGGTTGGTTGGCATGAGAGGAGAAGGCTTCCCAGGCCCTAGCTACCAAATTTCTGTCTCCCTGTGAAAGCAAAACCAAAGGTGAAGGTTAATAGTCGGGGTTGTGATTGTCATCTAAGATGAGCTTGGGAAAGTCTGAGCTGGCTTTCTTTCCTCCCCATTACAAACCTCTGAACCTCGCAGCTCTCCTGGTGACTCATTTCCTCTGCCACAAGAACGATGGCTGCTGTTACTTTGTGTTTCTAATGACTGCTGCAGGAAAGCTGCCTCTGGACGAGCTGCCAGGGAGTGCCTCGAGCTTTTGGAGTGCTGCAGTCCTTACTTTAAATGGATGACRGTGCTGGATTTTTACAATCTGTATTTAATTGAGAGCTGCGGTTTCTGCAGTGTGTATGGATGTGGAGCTGGCTGTGTCTTATTGTRTGGTGGCTGCATGTAGCTTTCTGGTGTCAGTACAGTTGGATCCAATTTTTGTTTCATTTTGGTAGGGGGAGAGCTACTTCATTTATTTGCWCGTGGGGTTTGGTCTGTTGCCCACAAACCCTCAAGCTGAAATCTCTTTTTCTTTCTTCCCTATACACCTGCAGCTGACTTCATGTAAAATATTTTTACAGGCAGTACTCGCAAAGATTTCTCCAACATTGCAGTAAAGAGGGGAAATGAGAAAGTGAGATTTTAAACTAGCTGTATACATATGTCATACAAAGCAGTAGTGTTAAAATTTGTCAGCGATTTTCCATATTAATAAAAAAGTCAACATCACGACTGCTGAATGGCAGAATTAGTTGTACACAGTGCCTTGCCATTTCTCCTYCTTGTTTTCTTCCCAAATTTAAATAAGAAAAGTTTTCCAGTTTGCCAAGGGACATGTCACTTACCTGTAATGGGGTCTAACTGATCTACAGGTCCTCTAAAGGCTGAGATAAACACAAGTAGGAGACTTTGAAACTTTACCCTGCTGTTTTCTGACAGTTAAAATTAGAAAAATGGGGGTATTGAGTT